AATATATAATTTATAATTCACATGCATATAAACAAGAAAGAATATACTCACAATATTTCTCTCCCTTTGACAACATCAAAAAGGGAACAAAAGAATTAAGAGAGCGAAAGCTCCCCCTATCAATAAGCATAGGTGAGTATAAAACATAGAATAGGGAATAGCTCCCCCTATCAAAATGCCATATAAAATATATGCAATAAAGATCAAGGCAAAACATGTGAGCAAGCATACATGAATATGCTAAATATCACTCACATACAAAAAGACAAATGAGAACATATATAAATATATCAAAGTGAAAAATAGTGTCTCATTAACACAAAAAAATGTAAAAATAGATTTATGAAAACAAATGAGAGAATAACATGAGAATCATGCAAAAAGAGTTTTCGAAAGAAAATAAATCAGCCAAATGAAATCATAAATCAACCACAATCACATAAAACCAAACCATCATTGATTTTCAAAAATCAAGAGAGGCAACTCTATCTAGCTCTTGAGCTAGTATCAACCCATATGAATATTTTAGTATCCGGTAAACAAGATTTGGGAATAAACACCCAATAATCCGTAGGGTTATATAAATACAAACTTCTCATCAAAACAAAATTAATAATCATGGAAACAAAAGAATTTGATCAAAGAAAAATTGTTTTCATAACCAAAAGATTTTAAAACATAATTTTCAAAAAGAAAAAATAAGAACACTAAAATTCTTGATTTAAAAATTAAATTTATTTTGGTACCCAAGAACTCTTGGTACCAAAAGATTTAGGGACATGACCCCTATCATTTAAACTCAAAGCCCTAGAGTTATGAACCCTCTTGGGCATATGTGGTGCATGGGATCAATCATAGCAATAGTCACTCAAATGACCCTTCCGATTGCAATATGTACAATGAAAAGGAAGCATTTGATTATGTTGACCATTAAAAGGTGCACGTGGAACATTTGCAAATAAAGATGGTCTTTTAAGATTATTTTGCAAATGAGAAACATTTTGAAACAATGTTGGTCTGCTTGAAATATTTTGCGATTTAGAACCTTTTTGCAAATCAAAACAAAACTTAGCTAAGTGACCAACTCTACCACAAAAATCACAATGATACACATGAGCATGCTTATGATGAGAAATAGGTGCATGTGTGTGTACATGTGATGAAGAAACTTGATGAGATGCACAAGTAGGATTAATATTCTTATGTTTTTGTGCATCATAGCAAAATTTAGCTAAATGGCATTTACGACCACAAAAGGAGCACTTATAAACTTTGCTATACAAGTGTGCATAGTGTGTAGGTGATTTTGTAGCGCTAGATTTAGCACACTTGTCCATAAGTTTCTTATGGTTATCAATGCATGTTTTTAAAGTTGAATCTAAGCATGATATGCGTTCCTTAACAAGATTCAAATCATCATTATGCACAACATCATTGATAATAGAAGTAGAGCATGTATGGTTATCAAAATCATTTCTAATAGCTACTACTTCTAGCATGACATTATCTCTTTCATGAGTTAACTTAGCAAAGTTTGAAAGCAAAGAATCATGATCCAATTTTAACTTTTCATTGTTTTCTTTAAGGATCATATTTTCATTAGAAATAGTATCAAACTTAGATGCTAACAACTCATGATCGGATTTCAAATCCTCATGCTTGTTTTTTAAATCAATAAAAATTTTATGCAATAAGTTATAGGCATGCAACAATTTTTCACTAGCACAAGCAATTTCATCACTAGATAAATCATGGTTTCAAACTCGCAAACCTCACTAGGGCTATCGCCTAGTGGCCGTGTGCATGATGCTCCATATGAACTTGAAGTCGGATCCTCCAAAGCTTGTTGGATTGCCTCCAAGTCCCCTTGATGTGCTTCTATAAATTTTCAAAGTTTGTAAGCACTATGAAAATTAACAAACTTGTTAGACATAGATGAATTAAAAACATTTAGCAAATATTCTAACAAAATATTGTTCATTGTAAACATACGATGATCATTCTTATTCCACTTGGATTTCTCCATAGTGGGCACAATATAAGCATCATCTATAATTTCATATAAATCAAAGTGTTTAGATTGAACAAAAAGTTTAAATCTAACACACCATTGGGCATAGGGAAAATTATCTAATCTAGGAGCAATATTGATGGCATAACCTAAACCATGCATATCCATAAAATAAAAGGCAAGCAAGATACAAATAAAGCTCAAAATTAGATAAGCACAATAAGCTAACTTGGATCTTTAACTCAAGGCGATTAGACCTTAAATCAAAGAGCACCAAGCTCTGATACCAATTGTAGACCCTGGAGGGGGGGTGATTAGGGTCTTATGCTAATCTAATCTGATTATATGCTAATTAAACTTAATTAACAAGTTATCCTAGCAAGTATGAAATACAATAAAAATATAAGCTAGGATAAGCAATATGAACAATGAGATATATCCTATATGATAGAAATATATGTAAGGAAATATAAACAAGACAAGGGTAAATAATCTAAATAAGATAGTGGATGAAATAAATGAGCAATGCACAATTAGCGATATAAGATAAATGCAAAAATAAATACGCCAAAGACAAACTCAAACAAGCAATATGATCACGGAGTTCGGACCTTCCGTCCTACGTCTCCGCTCCCCACTCCCGGGGAGAAATCCACTATCACAACCCGGTTTGGAAGCCCTAAGTGTTGGTCCTAGCCCATGTCCTCCTCCTCAAGTGCTCGGTTACAACCTCTCCCTAGGTTCGTCACCCGACGCCACTCCTCTTGGAATGATCCCCGACTCTCACCACACACTCCTCACTCGGTGTACAAGTGTATTACAAAGTGAATCTCACAATTAGGCTCAATACAATAATTGTTTGTTCTCTACTATAGATGAGAACACAATGAAAGCTCACACTCAATGTTACAACTCTCACAACCCCAAATATATTATGAATGCAGTATGCAAATACAATAAGCTCATGTGGGTGTGTGTAACAATGAGATTCAATAAAAACTTAACTCAATAAGAACTAGCAATAAGATTGATATGAAATACAATAGTAGAAATGCTAGGAAATAGAGTTAAGGAAACTTCTCTATAAACACAAAGAGAGGATGATGAAATGTTGAAGATGAACTCTTCAATAGTTGATGTAAACTCCTCTTTGTAACAGCAAACCCAAAACAAACTTAAACCAAAACTAAACAAGCTTAAGCCCTTGTTTAAAACCTTGTTTAAAAACTTCTTAGATGTTTTGAAAGAGAACAGCAATGGGGTATTTATACCCACTCAAAATCTCAGCCAAAAACCCCCAAGCAAAAGACAAAAACAGCCGTAGCCAACGGTAACAAAAATAGCCGTTGGAAGGAATCTGACTGAGCGGCGGTCGACCAAAAAAATTCGCGGTCGACCACGATCCAGATCCCAATCTAAGAAGAAGAGCAGAGACTTATTCGGTCGATCGGTGCGGTCAACCAATGGAAATTTCGAGCTCTTGGTCGACCGGTGCGGTCGACCGACAAACTCTCTGCTGCCCACTGACGAATGATCACATGAGCGGTCGACCGGTGCGGTCGACCGAGGACTGATACATTCCAAAACTGATTTTAAAACAGATTTTGAGACTTTTGGAAAATTATAAAAAATAATAAATGAAGTCCAGAAAATATGAAACTTTGGGAAATGTATATAAACATGTAAATGAACATGTTACAAAAAGAATTTTCCAAATTGCATTTCTCATTTATGAAAAATCATCATTTTGCAAAAATAGTCCAAAACACGAAAATGTAAACATGTGAATTTTGACATTTAGGCTAAATCATGTTTTGAAATTTTGCACAATAATTTTGTAGACTTAATAAAATATGTATATGATTATTGTTAAGTCCAAAAACTAAGAAAACAATATTTTCACAAAATTGCATATTATATGCAATATATACTAAAACACAATAATAAATATGAAACATGTGATTTCATATTTATAAACATGAAAACTCAGAAACACATGTATGTATATATATAACTATATATATGCATAGAAACCAAAACTTATGTATATATATATAACTATATATATATACGAAGAAACCAATAAATGTGTGTGTATATGATATTGAGCTTAGAGTATCTAACACACATAATATAAAATCTAAACTAGATTACCCAAGCTTGATCTTGATCTTCAATTAAGCTTGACTTGGTACACTTGCGGATGAAGCATGAACTTGATCTTTAACTTTGAATTGTAAGGCTTCACCGACATTCCGCCAACCTCCTTTGGATATGATCATTGTGGCGCAATCCATTCATCCTCTAACTACGTTGTTTGTCTATAATAAATAAGAAAACACAAATACTAGACAAACAACATTAGTGGTAAATTGTTAGTTAAACATCATCAAAACAAGAAGGCCAATACTTTTCTCTTCTTTCTACGCCATAATGTTTTTTCTCCTCTTTCTATGTCATAATTTTTTCTCTTTCAAAAAAAATCATAATTAATAGAGTTAATTAATAATTGATCTATTTGATAAATTTTAAATTTTTTAATCCCTAGTTAATTTTATACTCAAGCTCACCTTTTATGATAACTCTAAATAAATTTTTTAAAAAATACTTTTCAAAGTAGTATACTTCACTTAAGTCTTAACTACTTTTAATTAAAATAATGAAACTTTTGCATGCTTAGCTTAGAGTTGAAAATAATTTTTTAAGGTCTTGATCTACATATTTTTTAGGATATATATATATATATATATATATATATATATATATATGTTTATGTGAAT